AAATGTGGAGTGTGTTTTTGGCTGTTTAAAAGCCCACTGGCATTGTTTGTAGTGGAAGCTGGACCCGGCCACTGATGGCATCCCTATGTTTACAGAAACATGCTCTACCCTCCATAATCTTTGTGAAGGGAGAGGTGAAAGCTTCACTCGGGGCTGAACCACTGAGGCTCAGCATCTGGAGACTTTGAACAGTCTGAGACCAGGGCTATCAAGGCATGTCTACCCTAGGAAATTATTTCAAAATAACTTATTTCAAAATAACTCCAGAAATAACTATTTCAAAATAGTGTATTCACACTACAGGGAAGCTTTGAAATTAGTCCAAGGCAGCTCCATTAAAGTGGATGTACTACCTCAAACTTAGAGCCTCAGGAAGCACTGGGGTGTAATTACTTTGAATGACTCTGGGGAGTAGTTATTTTGAAATAGAAGCAGTGGAGCGTCCACACTGCCACTATTTGAACTAAGCGTTATTCCTCATGGAAAGAAAGAGTTATTTCAAAATAACCAGCCCCTTATTTCAAAATAACAGGCTTGGTAATGTGGATGCTCCACTTGTTATTTCTAAATCAGGGGAGTTTTGAAAGGGATCTAGTGTAGACCGAGACTTAGAGGAGCACAGCTTGGGGACATAAGGATTAGGTAAGCCTGGAGGCAGCAATTTGTTGCCAAAAGCCAGTAATACTTGTTGCCAACCCAGAGAATGCAGTGGCTGTAATGCTAGTGGGGGACTGTGATTGGTCACTATGATGCACTGAGTACAACAGTTCCTGTTGCTTTGCTGGGGAGTGCATGCTTGTTTTCATGGACTGAAATAAAGAAAACTTCCAAACCCATGAATTTAATTTATGAAAAAAACAAACAAACATAAAACACACACGCAGAATGACACATCTGCAGTTTAGGAGGAGATGGAGGGAAGGAAGAGGATGTTTAGAGATTTGTGTATGTCCAGGTATTATATGCAGCTGTGTTGTCTGACGTGCTGTGCAAAGGGTGCTGTAGCTGAGCAGGGCTAAACTGCACAGGGAGGAGTGCACTGGGTGCCTTTGGGAGTCTGCAGGCCTAGAAGGTGAAGGCGTAGGTGTGGAGTGCAGCAGGTGCCAACTGGGGAAAAGATGGTGGCCAAAATGTGCTGGCGGTGCAGCGGGTGCATGGAAAGCAGTTTTGGGATACTAGCTGGTGGGGGGTGGCATTCACAGAGCTGTCCTATCTGCAGTGCTAGCAGTGCCTGCAGAGTGTCATCTTGGTGCCCCATAATATTGAAGAGCCACTCCGTGGCTTCATTCCAGCACTCAGCATTCTCCTTCCGCTCCTTCTCTCTCTATTCCTCCAGTTCTTTTTTTTTCAGCAGCAGCCTGTAGCCTGGCCAGGAGGAGGATCCTGACTGCGGAAGTGCTCTGCGACTGTGGGGCCTATTTCCACTCCTCCCTGATCTCACACATTTGGGCAGAGTTGCTCAGGGCTGTGTCGGCTGGCTCCCTAGATAGCTTCGAGGAGCAGTGGGCACTGACTGGGGTTCTTGGCTCAGAGTGCCCCTCTGGTTCCCTCATTTTGACCTTCTGACCTGCACCTCTGAACCTGTTTGTCATTAGTTATCACCCAGATTTACTTGGAGCCTGGGTCCAGTGGTTCCTCCTGCAAGGCTAGGGGAGAGGCCTTTAGAAGTCAGCAGGCTCATGCATGTCCCAGGATTTTCCAATGAGGCCTATAGCATAACCTCACACCTCAAATCATCTTTACTTCTCTGAGGATGCTTCCTTGCTGTGCACAGGCAATCATCCAGGGCTATCAAGGAAAGCTGGCATGAGTGTTCCAGCTTGTGTGGCCTCTCAGGAGAGATTCAGATACCATCCAACCAATTAGCAGAGGGCTCACGGTAGTTTTTTTGGATTCTACTGGTGGTGCACAATCGCACATGCCTTAGGCACACTAGGGGTGTGCACCCCCTGACATGCACTCAGTGCCCCCTGACTGTCCTCATATAGCCCCTCACAGGGCCAGTGACAGTCTGTTTGGGGTTGCTCATCATAGGCATTTGTCTCAACGGCTCAGCTTACCTAGTCGGCCTCATGATCTGCCTGCAAGCCAGGGGCTTTGTTTCCAGCCCCTAGCCAAGGGAGTTTTGGCTGGCCCTCCTCCAGCCTTTGCTGGTCATCTCCAGCTTATCTCCCACCAAGGAACTCCTGCTTCCTCTGCAGTCAGCCCTCCACTGGCCCTCCTTAAGCAAACTGAGCTTCTCTATTTATAGTTGTCAGCTGGGCTTTCACTTGCCCTAACAGCTTCAGCTGGGCTCTCCAAGCCAACCGGGCTTCTCTGTGTAGCTGCCCGCTGGGCTCTCCCTCGCCCTAATGGGTCCAGCTGGCTTCCACAAGCCAATTGTGCTGCCCTAGATAGTTGCCAGCTGGGCTCTCCCTGGCCCAAACAGCTCCAGCTGGCCTCTTTCTTTCTAGCCCTGGCTCAGGGCCTGAGTCCTGGTCTTAAAGGGCCAGTGCAGGGCAGGCGCCCTGTCACAGTGCACATAAAAATTTATTCTGCACATGGATGGAAAAGATTAGAGGGAACATTGGCAGGGCTCTCAAGGTTAAATCTGGGAAGCCAAAATGTCACATTTCATAAAGGTACCATAGATAACACTAGACAGAGCACAAAGACACTAGATACTATAACGGGGGAGGTAGGGAGCTAATCCTTTCGGAAAGGATTCCTGCTCTGCCTCTTCCCTCAATTCCCAGCCCTCCCCCTCCAGAGCTAAGTGATCAAAGGGACTACTGGGAGTGGGGGCTGGCACAGGGCAGCAGCAGGGGTCACCCAGCCCGCACTCATTGTGGCGGCAGGAGCCAAAGCAACTCTGTTCCACCCTGCTGCCCTCTCCTGGCTGCTGTGCTCCACCTCACTGCGGCAGCAGTGGGAACTGAAGTGCCCTGGGGATGGAGTGTTCTGCGTCCTACTGCCACTGAGAGATGGAGCACAGAGGGCTGGGAGAGGATACAGCAGAGCAGGCTGCTACGATGCTCCACCTTCTGTCTCTGTGGTGAGTATGTGTGTATGGGGGGAGGAGAGCAAAAACCTGACTCCTGCTGCCACCCCACACCTGCTAATCCCCCAGTTTGCCCTAAGCCCCACAGGTCCCATCTATAGGATGATTGAAGTGTCTGCCACGGGGCTCCCCAAAGTGTGGGGCAGCTGCCCCGGACCATCCTATGTACAGGATGGCTCTGCACTTTAAACACAAGCACTGTTCACATGCCTATCACTGACTGGCTGTCCCAGGGCAAACACACATAAGATACAAGATCCTCAAAATAGTGAGTTAACCACTGGGGCAGAGGATATTGGAGCAAGGCCTTATTGTAGCCTGGGCATGTGTATCTTGGAGAGAGACAGCACTGCAGAGAGGTAGAGGGCCTTATAATCACTAATATCCACACATTTTTCACAGGCTGTCATAATCCTGGAAAATACTTCACTGCTGAGGATGAGAAGGGAAACAAGGGAGGGTCTTTTGCGAGACTGTGGCTTCTGTCTTGGCCCGTACACGGCTTGCCTGTGTGCAGCTATGCTCCCTCTCCTTACGGCAGAGTGGCAAGGGGATGTTACCATTAATGGGACAGTGAACACAGCAGCTCTTTCACAAAACCTGCAGAGGCAAATGGCCCAGCGTCTCCATGACACTTTTGATGAGATCTGTGAGGCCGATTACCGTGAAGTGAGAGAGTCCATCAATACCCTCTTCTGTATCTGACTAGCCCTGGGTCGGTACTAGCACCACAGCCCCAAGCCTGCATTCTGCAACCCTCCTGCCCCCAACCACTCGCTTTAGCAAAATTTAAAGCCACTTACTCTGCTCTTTGTGCTTCCCCAAGCTCTGATTGCTGTGATTGGCTAGCCTCCGCCGGTTAGAAAATAGGTCCTGACTGCATGGATCTGTGGACACCAGGCTGTCTTCCCCCTTAGCACCCTCCTTCAGGATTTCCTCTTCCTGGCTCAATTCATTCTGAGATGGTCCCTGATGTATGCAGGGGGATCTTGGAGTGGCAGTAAAGTCGCCCCAAGTTTTTCATCCAGCTCTTTGTACAGCAGCCACAGCACTGGACTGGCAGTTTGCCTCTCACTCACCCAGTGGTAGGCGTTTTGTCGCTCCTTCCCTTTGACCCTGCATTGCAATGCATCCCTGTCCTACCCCCTTTCAGTCATGTATCTCAAGATCTGCCTCTATGTATCATAATTCCTATGGCTGGTGTGCAACTGGGACTGAACAGCCTCTTCTTCCCAAACACTGATGAGGACCAGTACCTGTACATGGCACTGGTAGGGGAATCTTCCCTGGTGCATGGAGCAGGCATGGTCTCCTGGAAAGATGGGCTGACACCACACCACACATCCCCGAGTAAACAGGAAGAGGACTTTCATAATTCTAAAGGAATGCAAAGGGCAGGTCTGAGGGTTGGCCACCTGAAAGGAGGGCAGCAGAGTTCAAACTGATAATAGGCATTGTGGGACAGGTACTGGAGGCCTGTCACTATGCTGCAGTACCACACGGCATCCACACTGGTAACCTAGTGCTGTAGCCAGAGCACAGCAAGCTCTATACTTCTCATGGAGGCGGTCTACCTAGGGCGCAGAATAGAATCATAGAACCATAGAGCTGGAAGAGACCTTAGAAGGCCATCAAGTCCACCCCCTGTCCAAGGGAGGACCAATCCCAATTAAATCACCCCAGCCAGGGCTTTGTCAAGCTGAGACAAACATCTCTAGGGATGGAGACTCCACTACTTCCTTAGGTAACCCATTCCAGTGCTTCACCACTCTCCTAGTGAAATAGGTTTTCTTAATATCCAACCTGGACCTCTCCCACCGCAACTTGAGACCATTGTTCCTTGTTCTGCCATCTGTCACTACGGTGAACAGCCTCTCTCCAGCCTCTTTGGAACCTCCCTTCAGGAAGTTGAAGGCTGCTATCAAATCCTCCCTCATTCCTCTCTTCTGCAGACTAAATAGACCCAACTCCCTCAGCCTCTCCTCGTAGCTCATGTGCTCCAGCCCCCTAATCATTTTGGTTGCCCTCCGCTGGACCATCCCCAATGCATCCATGTCCTTCCTGTAATTGGGGGACCAGAACTGGACACAATACTCCAGATGTGGCTTCACCAGAGCTGAGTAAAGAGGAATAATCACAACTGCGGAGCTAGTGCGGACTAAGTGCCTTGTCAATGTGGACACCTCAGGAGTTACAGTGCTGTGAGGTGATTTACTGTGCTGCAATTTGCCAAGAGTACTGCAGGGAAGGAGTTATACACAGTAACTGGGAAAGCATTTCAGGCATAAGGTGCATAAGAAGGCACAAAGCTGGGAACTAGAAGAGTGTATAAGAAGGGCATGTGGAAAGAAGAGGGGGCTTAAGAAACATGAGCAGAAGTGTAGGTGAGAAAGAATCTACAAGGCAGACAGGAAGTATTTGAATTTGATGCACTGAAACCGGAAGCCAGTGAAGGAATTAGAGGAAAACTACAATAAAGCAGCATTTTACTTTCAGTTACAATAGTCAGACAATGGCCATATCTTGCAGCAATGAGTTAGAAGAAGAAGGCAGAATGTGAAGGCCAGATTTTAATGATATTTGGGGGAGAGGAGGAGCAATGGGATCTAGAGTCTGGACAGAGCAAGGAACAAGCTAGGGGAAAATAAGAGTTGTCAGCAATATTGTGAGGTTGACAGGCTTGCTGTAGTGGTTTGAATTGCTGTGTTACGCTGCAATTTTCCTTGAAGTGAATTTGCCATTGTAATGCTGTTTCTATTCATTGGCAATAGCCTTCTGCAACTGCCTTTTCAACAAGAAAGAATGCTGCAAATCACATAACAAGCTATCTGTGTACTTTAGTATTGCCTCCTGTGGAAGAAAAGCTCCCTTCCATTGTTGCCACAGACCTACATCACCACTCCATTTTCCCTCAGACAAGTTGTCAAAAAACGCACTCACTGTTGGTGCATCCCTTCATGGCTGGCATCCTAAGCTCTCCTTGTCTAATGCCCCATCAACAGCTGTGCATGCCTATAGATGGTCTACTTCATCTTTTAACTTGGCAAGGTCACTTACGTTTCTCCCATCTTCCAGGATTTCAATAACCCAAATGGACACGTCTCAGGACGCACTAATCAGCCATGTGTCGTCTTACTGTCACTTCAGGCTCCTCTTCCACTCCACTCTCCTGTCAGAGTCGTGGCTTTACAGCAGGGATGAGGAACCTCAAGCCTGGGGGGTGGATGCAGCCCCTGGCTTGCCTGGATCTGACTCCTGAGGCTCAGGTTCCCCCCAGCATTGGGGGACCCACACTGGCATTCCAGCCCCCCCACTGCTCTGCCGTGGAGTTGGAGCACAAAATCTATGAGGCTGAACCCCCATAGGCCCTGGTGTGGGAGGAGAATGTGGAGAGTGTCTTTTTTTCTTCTCAGTTGGGGGCCACATCACTTGTGTGCAACCCCTGACTGATTTTTGGTTCAGTGGCCTCAGACCCAAAAAAGGTTCCTACAGCTTCTCTCTAGAGTCCCTTAGGGTATGTCTACACAGCAAAGAAAAGGCTTGGGTGGTGGAGCGGTTTCATTGATTTGTTGAGTTCTAGGTTCAGGCTGGAGCTATAGCCCTGGGACTTTCCCACCCCATAAGGCACTAAAGCACAGGTGCCAGCCCAAGCCTGGAAGACTACAAAACGATGAAACAGCTCCACTTGAACTTTAGCCTGTTGGTATGAGCCTGCTGTGGGTGGCTAGTGGCTGTACATCTACATTAAGTAACTCAAAAGTGAAACAAATCATAATACAACAAAACCAACTTTCCCCCACCATCCCGCAAGCTTGAACTTTTAATCCATCCTTGTTCCTTCCCACTTCTCTGTTCTTTTGCAGAACAGACTCAGAGGCTGTCTCCCTGGGGTCTTGCCCCTTGTCAGGATTCTCAACTCCAGGGCCCTGTCTCAGTCCCTTTTAGAAGTGTCCCTCAGCTCTGCTGCCATCTACCACCAGGGACCATCCAAGGATGTACACTCCCTCCTGAAACTCATTTCACTAGCTCTCAGCCTTTTTTGTAACCCCCCCTCACTTGCTCAGTTGGGTCCAGTGATTAAGGAAGTCCATCTCATCCCAAGCTGAGAAGGATCAGTTGGATGGGTAGCTGATTATTACTAGCAAGGCTGAGCTTGATTCCCTTTAAAGGCCAGCCAACCTTTCACATGGATCCATTGCTCTCCCTGGGCTGAAGAGGGCCTGTCAGCTCCTTGTGGACTTAACTCATGCAGGTTCTTAACTGTAGAAATCAACAGAAAAATTGGAGAAATCAACAGTTGCCAGCAGTGTATTTGTGGCTGCTTGGACACATTATATCATTTTGGCTTTAAAATATTTTAACTTTGCTGTATTTCTTCTCCCGTGTTCTTCCGCAGAGTTTCTGCTCCCCACTAATAATGATTTGCCTAAAGTGAGCAGAAACCAACCACACAAGAAATCAAGGCCACACAGTTCTGAGATCGTGTTTTTCAGTAAGATTTCACAAGGCAAGGCTTGTTCAAGAGACTGAAAAAGGTTCCAGTTACCAGATAAGTAAGCAAAAAATGAATCACAAGTAAGGCTACAACTCAATCACAGAGGTCACAAATTCCATGATTTTATGAGACCTCCACAACTTGGTCTCAGTCAGGGACTGTGCAGCTCTAACCCTGGGCAGCATGGCTTTGGGCTCTAGCCCTGGGTATTGGGACTCTGGACTTTCATGATTTATTATTGTCCATGACTTTTAATAAAAATACAACACTGTGCCAAAGTCACACCCGTAAGTGTAACAAATGGGAACACTGATAAATCTAGGACTGTGTCTGTTTGCACACAGTGATACTGTACTCAGTTTTACACTAGGAAATAAACCAAAGGATAGCACAACTGCTAGGTTCATTATTCCTAACAATAAGTTTATTTATAAAACTAATATTTTGGAATGACATACTTGTTTTTAGAGTGAGGCAATGGATTTGATTAAAGCAAGCCAAAGCTTAACCAGCCAGAAATAGATTTATTCAAACCCTTAGCTTCCTCCACAGCTGCTCTGCTACTGAACATCCTATTCCTGACACACGCATTCAGCTCCTAACTCCTCAAACTCACTGGGGCTTCTTGGCCGTGAAACATGGAGCCCAAGTAGGGGCAGCTCTGGGAACCACACTATCCCCCAATATAACAGCACAAGCATGTTACTTTAAAAAGTAACAGCATTTGGGGGGTGGGAGTTGGAGAAAAAGACACCTGTAATGGCTTAATGGTGATATATCTACCAGGGATGTGAAAGTGTAACCATATCCATGGTTAACTGAGGAGCCTTTACAGTTGCACTCAGACTCCCGGTATGCACAGGGGGTCAACTTAAAAGCCATTTCCCCACACACACCAGCTCCCAAGGAGCCACCTCCCCCCACTGTATAACCACTGAAATTTTCAGCAGTTACACATTTATTTGATTAACCACATTTTAACATCCCTAATATGCATCGGTATACACCCACCATCTTGCTTAGCACTCACTGGCTACACTCATACTTGGAGCTAGGAACATTATTCCAAGCTTGCACAAACACACTTTCACTTGCTCTCATCTAACTAGTGTGCTAAAAATACGGGTTGAACCTCCCAAATCTGGGACTCTTTGGTCCGGCAACACCTGTGGTCCGGCAGGGCCAGGGGTGTTGCTGAACCAAAGAGCCCTAGAGCAACGCAGGAGCTGGAGAGCCCTGGCTGGCCCAGATGGCATCTGGGGAGCCCGCACCTTGGCCCAGAAGCCCCAGCATCAGTGGGACCAGGTGGCAGCCAGGGAGCTCCTACCCAGGCCAGGGAACCCCTGGCATTAGCAGGGCCACATGGCTGGGGAGTTGTGGCCCCAGTCGTGACCCATGGCTACAACTGAGCTACCTGCAGCCAGGGGGCCCCAGTCAGGAACCCTGAGACACCCCCAATGGCAGTAGGACCAGGATGACTGGGCAGCCTTTGCCAGGGAACCCCACGGCTGAAGCGGAGTTGCTGGAGGCAGACAGCCAGAATCCCCAGCGACAGGAGGGCAGCCTTAGCAGCAGGGCAGGGTGGCCGGGCAATCCCAGCTAGGGAACCCCCAGCAGCCATAGGGATGGCAGCAGGAACCCCAGAGAATACCCTGCAGCAATGGGACCAGCAGCAGTCAAGAAGTCCCCATCGCGAATCCTGGGGCAGTAGGGGGGCAGCAGGATGGAGAACAATGCTGGACATCTTTAGGGGGACCAGTGGCAGGGAGCACCAGGGAGAGGAGCCCAGGTGTGGTGCAGCCAGCAGGAGAGCACTGACCTTGCCTGGTCCGACAAACTCCTGTTCCCGGAGTGCCGGACCAGGGAGGTCCAACCTGTAATAGTGTAGCAGCAGCTAGGGGCAGCCGCCCCACGTCCAAACCAATGGGATCCAGGACAGCTAGTCGGTGCCATTACTACCCAGACAGAGCTACTGGGGCTACACTACTACTATTTTTATCAGGCTAGCTCAATGCGAGTTGGGAGAAGAATGTCCATACGAGATAGGAAGCACACCCTTAGCTCCATGCATAGACATAGTCTCCCTTGGTTAGCCTCTCAATGAGGTAGGTAACGAATGACTGGATGAGAATCTAATTCCTCTTTCAACCCTACAGGGTGTCTGGTACATCATGTTCAGGACCCCACACACACCGGAAAATACACACACATAATTTTGCTGTGCAAGGTATAAGAGGAGCCAGATGACAAGTACTCAAGCCCCCGCCAAACTGTTTCCCCATCTGCAGCACTGCTACAATCTGCTGCTCAAATGGGAACTGCAACGGCAATGCTTCATTACTACGTGTGAGCTCCTTCAGTAAGCATGCTAAAAATAACAGACTGTTAACAATCTTCTCCTAACAGCATCCCTACTTTCAGCTGTCAGGCCAGTTCTTGTGTGACCCTAATAAATTATATCCATGGTGAGAGGAGTTTGGGCCTCACTTCTAGTCCTACCCACTGGTCTCACTCATTTGGGTCAATGAAGTGGGGTGGGCAGAGAAACTCTCATGGGGACTTAAAAGTAAGGTAGTTTTAAGAAGGACTTAAGCAACCCAGGGACTGTATACTGAATCTCAGTTTCCCTGTGACATGTAACATGAAAACGCCTCCCTCACTCAAGCTGGGTCAGCTTGATGGACCTGCTTTCACTCTTCCCATTCTTGTTGCTTCGTGCAAACACATCAGAATCCGTACCTCTTATTAGCCAGTGAAGGAAGCATGGGATGCACATAGCATGGCCATCTGCTAAACACACCTTAGAATTCAGATCTGGGTAAACAAGTAAAATTAACTGAGCCGGTGTTCAAGTTAGCTCCTTTCAGGGTATGTCTACACTGCAATTAAAACCCGACTGGCCCATGCCAGCTGATTCAGGCTCCCAGGGCTTGGGCTGAGGGGCTATTTCACTGCAGCTCTTACTATAGCCTCCACTTGTTGGGCATATTAACCCTCCTCTTTCTCCTGTCCAGCCTGCTCCTTTTAGAGCATCCCTCCTTTCCCCAACTCAGCTCTGTACTTCTCTCCCTAGCATCTGCAAATGTACCCTCCCCACTTGGGCCCAAGACTCAGACTGAGGAGAATCAACAGGAAGTTGAGTCATATTAGGAATACGTTGTCGTGGGAGAAGCACGCAGTCTGATTTGCATATTCAGGTCAGGCAGAAGTGATTTATTTCTATGGCCATAGGAGAGAATGCAGAGTGACAGAGGTACAACCTCAGTCATTACAAACTCTAACTCTTGCCCCAAATACAAGGGCTTATATAGCAATTTACCTCTAGGATCATATAATGGAATGCTGACAAAATGCACACTCTCAGGAAACTCAGTAAGGCACAGTTATTCCATAGAAGGAATACAGTTGATAAGAGGAACTATTCAGTAGATAAGGGGAACTAGTAGGTCTTTAGTAATGAAGCAATGGGGTAAGAACTTAACTGCCAGCCTTGCAGTTTTTGTAAAAGCTCACCTTTGACATGGTACATATCACATACTAACTTTAGCTAAAGACACAAACTAAAACCTTAATTTCTAAACTTCCACATCAAGAATTAAAAAGTGTTTTCCAGTGGTTGGAACAGGACTTGTTTCTGGCAGATGTTCAGTTCTGCTGTTAGACACCCTCCCTGAACCTCAGCACAACACCCCAGGCCTGTTTCCAGAGGTTTGAGGGAGGGGCTGAATGTCAGGACTCCTGAACGAACAGGTCCAGGGTGGGTAGTGGTCTCTTCAGAACTGGCCAGCTGCAGAAAGGTTAGCATTATTATTTCACAATGCTGGTTGCTATAGTAACAGCACTACTTTTCTATTTACTCATTCATCTGCTCTAGGAAAGAGATGCTGCCGCAAATATGAGAAAGGTCATAGTACAGCGAGCTAACCACCAAAGCTTCAAGGTGCATCAAGACTGATGCCATGTGTGTGTCCCCTTCCCACATAAGGGAATTTGGAAGTAATCTCCCAGACTATTTTTACCTGTTCTATTGGAGGTTGAAATTGTTTGAAAGTGGTAATTACAGCAGCTTGCCAGTTTCAAAGATAGAATCAAGACAAAATGAGGGAACAGAGATAAATACTGGGTTAGACTAATGACAGCATTCATTGCTTTTTTTTCTAAGCTTTATTAAGCTACTTTACTAAAAATTAGTTGGCAGCCTACTTCAGGAAGGGCATGGGGGAAGGGGAAATTCTATTCAGGGATTCAATATCTTCATTTCTCTTTCATCCTCTCAGCCCCACTACACTGCACCTTCAGCTAGCACATACAGGATGGAACATTTTTATTGAGCAGGCAAAACCACTTCTATCCCTGGCAGTTGTATATCTCAACTAAAAAAATTAGCTCAATTTTGTGCACATACTGCAATCTAGCTACTCAAAACACCTAATTTTGGTGGAAAGGAAACTTTGGCCCAGGACAGATTAGCCATAGGAGATGAAGCTTTTCACTTTCGGTTTGATTCTGGAAGTGGGGACATTAAAGAAGTCACCCTGCAGAAACTATGTTTGAGAGGCGGCTGTGAGCGTGTATCCCTCTGCTCTAGGAGCACCAGCTTTTCATGCACAGAAGCCTGGAATCTTTGGATTAGCCACACCAATCCATGAACTCACACACTTGTGCTTCCTTGTGCTCCTGCGTGAGGCTATAAGGGTGAAGGGGCCACAACCCTCCCTCCATTCCATCACGGTGTGAAGCCTATGACAACTATGAAGAGCAGCAATGGAGTACACACTATGGGATCCAGACTGACTACCAACATGTGGGTGTATCACCGTTAGTAGGGGAAAATAACGGTTCTTCTTTCTTCTAGTATATGCCAGTGTGAATCCCACCATGAGCAGAAGTGGTATCCGCTCTGGATGGGGAGGATAAAGTGTTTCAAGCTTTATCTATTGAGCAATAATTTGATAGAACTGCTTTTCTAAACTTGTCATCTGACTTGGTAGTAAAGCCACTGTATAATGTTTGACAAAATTCAACCGGTTACTACTCTACATTGCAGCCTGGCAGATTTCAGAAACTGGCACATTTCTGAAGCAGGGGGAGGATGTTTCTGAAGCCTTAACATTCAGTAAGAACAGTACACCAATGCAGTATACTCAGAGCTACACAGCATTATCCACTTCAGTAGACTGACACACATGGCTTGACCTTTGGAATGACCACCTCTAACCTGAAAAAAATGGGAAGACAGTCTGAGCAGTTTAGTTCAGTCACCCTGAGCACATTATGACTCTGGAGACTTGCAACATGTGTAACTTCTCCCCTGTTGAGGAGTTCCAAAAAAAAAAACCCCAGGCAGGTAAATTGATTGAGAAGGAATTCTGAGATCACACTGGGCATGAACTTAGGAAAAGGATTCAGTAACACTTTGTCCTCCTTACACATCACATCGGGAGAGTCAGCCATAAATGCTTGGAGGTCATTCACTCACCTAGTTGAAGAAACAGTAACTAAGAATACCATTTTTAGAGTAAAATGAAAGGAGGATCATTGTGAGAGATGCTGAAAGGGTGGCCTGATGAGTAGCAAGAGAACAATGTCAAGGTCCCAAGCAAGAGTATGTTCTCTGACTGGTGGGTAAGTGCACCAAGATCCTTGACGAACTTCAGTGTTCTTCGGTGAGAGATGAGCAGGACAGCACAAGCAGATGGCAAGCTGAGATCAGGGTGTGGGAGGCATTATGGGGCTGAATAAAAAGCCAGGGCACTTTAAGATGCAACAAATAACTGAGAATCTTCAGCATCATAGCCTGCAAAGGATCCAGGTTATGATGGATCATCGATATGGAGACCCTTCTCCATTCTGTCAAGTAAGTATTTCTGAAACAAATCTTCCTGGACTTACCAAGCACAGTCCCTGTCTAAGGAACTCAACTAGCTAACATCCAGGCTGTCAGATGTCACAACTGTAGGTCTGGATGAAGTATCTGGTTATGGGTTTTCTGAAATCAGGTCTTAGCAGCATGGAACCAGAACAAGTGAATGGATATCAATAACAAGTCTAAAACTGCCTCGACCAGTAGGAAGCTATGACAAGGATAAAAGATGGCTCTGTCTCATTTGATTCTGGATGCCACTCTAGGGATCAGATGAGTCAGCAAAAAGCCATAGGATGAGTTCTAGTACAGAAGAAAGATTTCTAGTAATGATCTTGGGTGCAAAACTAAACTACACTAAGTATTCTCTTTGATGGCAAACAGGTCTCAGCAATCCTCAAAAAAAAAAAAAAAAAAAAAAAAAAAAGAACACTGTCTATGATGGATCTCAGCAGGGAGCACTCATGATTAGTCATTGTTCAGGAAATCTATCAGGTTACTGCTTACTATCAGGAGATGAAGAGTCATTATGGTTATTCTATATTAAAAGCCCCATGTCTGGAACTTGATGGCTTCCAAAGACAGGGGTACTAAGCTGATGCTTTGTTGTGTGTTGTGGATCATGGACATGCTATTTATAGTATCTGCACTATGGAATTTCAGAGGGCAGTGGGAACTGACCATTCTGAAGTCTAGGTCATGTTTGAGAAGTCTCTTGTCTCTAGCAGATGCAACCTGATCTAAGCAACCCCAGATGTGTAAGTCCTCATAGATAAAACCTGGCACACAGAGCACTTGTCTGAGAGGCGTCTCTCCCCTAAGCAATACAGGCATCAACTATTCATATTTTTTTGAATCCTGACGGCTTAGAGTCCACCATGAGATCCTGTGACTGGTGCAAACTTCCTTGCCCCTCTATATGGGTAGGGATTGCCTAAGAATATTAGCCCCCCTCCCCAGTAGTAACATCCCATTTAAAGGGATGGAAGAGAAAGTTCTTCACCAATGTCTGAGGCAGGTTCTGAAGCCTTCAGAAGAATAGTGAGTAAGAATAGAGGACACTTGCTACGTTCTACCTTGCTGCTGCAGGTGGTAAGAGGGAACTAAGAGAGGGTCACAGCTGTTTCCCCCTTCAGGCACTGGCATGACAGCATAAGGAACCAAAGGGTGCAGATGTCATGATTCAAAAGTCTGATGCTTACATACAGGAGGCCCATGGGCACTTACAGTCGGATCCACCCAGGCATACTCAGAAAAGAATCATGTTACTAGTTGATGGATGTTCACACAATTATTGTACGTACAAACTATTAGTCTAGTTATCATTGAACGTGTTCACATCACAATTGTCACACCTATTAACAATCTCCTCAAAAAACCCAATGTGGACAGACCAGGGAGACAAATTCCTTTCATTCTAAACGGTAGTTGATTTACAGCAGATCAATGTATACTAGTACAGCTGTGCAAGAAAAGCTTGCACTACCACTTTCTCTCCCATCTGCAGTAGTGAGAACATAGGTCTCCATGGCTAACTTTAGTTCTTGACCTTTTCCAGAAATCTACCACTGCCCAAGTAACAGGCATCACTTTTATGGGTATCAGATCTGAACTGCCGCAGCAGTAGGGCTGCACCCCATAGACTGAATACAAAATACTCCACATAAAATCCACTAGCCTACAAGCGGATGGATATGTAGAGAGACTGTCATCTTTACATGCAGATTTTGAAGAAGTAGTGTGTCACATCTGTTTTGGAAAAAGTTTTGAAAGTTGTTTCACAGTGGTTCTATGATGCACCCCATTATTCTTTAGTAAAGTGCTACGAAGTAGTATTTCACCCAATTCAAGTAATCAAAACCTGCTACATCTACACCAAGACTATGAGACACACTCATCACCTTATGGTATATTTCAAAACATCCTGGCTTGAAGTTGAGGGGAAGGAAAACGTGACTAAGAGGAACTTGAACCATGTGTTTTCTTTCCCAGCTTATTGGTAAGAGTGAGTAGACAAGTTAATAATGTGTCTGAGAAATATTCAGATGTTGCCAGAATAAAGCATTAACAATTTACCCTGTATAAGGGTAATTTCTCCCATTTACTATAAGAACATGTTTATTGCACCCAGTCTAACATGTATGATTACCTGTCCTATGGACAGGTGGTGTATGTGCGCATTCAGTGCAAGGAGCTCTTGGCCCTCGGAGACCACGTACGGGCTTTGGAGGCCAGGGTGGCTGAATTGGAGGAGCTAACAGAGGCAGAGAGGTATGCAGATGAGGTTTTCCAGGACACTGTAGAACTCTCCCACCTCCAGTAAAACATCCCGTGCTGCTGAGGAGGGTGAAAGGCTTAGGGAAAG